GATACGGTATTCTAGATAGAGAGCATTGAATTGGTTCGGACTTGACAAAGAATGGGTATCGAATGTAATGCTGAAACCATTTACACCACACAAAATTTCATGCCACATTTTACTGTCCCGGAAACTGCAGAAAAACAAGATAGTTCGGTTAGTGTTCTGCACCTCGTATCGTTGTGATTAGGAGCAACCATCGCGTGCAGGATACTGTAACTTCCCCGTGGAATAAAAATATTTCACGAAACGTCGAACGATTTCAGATCACAAAGGAACAAAATTTTGGAAACCTCGTAGCATTCCAATAACTTGTAACCCAGCTTTGTAAGCCTAGTCTATTTAATCACCATTTCACTGATAAAAAAGTTGAGTTTTAGCATGAAAAAGACCGAGATTCCTCAAGACTAGAATGTCATAAATTCAAAAATGAGAAACAAGAAACTTTAAGTAGCCTGGGTGTCTGAGGGGTTCAGTGTTTGGGTGGTAGTCATACATGTCAGGTAACGGCTCACATTGAGTTAGTCAGTCATCATCATCATCATCATCGACAGCATGATATCAGTGTTCAACACCGATGCTTCACTGCCGTACAACCATGATTTATTTGAAGGCCTTATTGTAAAGAGAAGAATAAAGGTGGATGGGGAAGGGACTTACCACAATCGTTACGAGGTGCCTACAACTCCAGATACTCACTCAGGCGATCTGGATGGAAACTGAAGGACTTCAGCCGATCCGGACAGTTTTAAGAATGACAAAATAAACATGTCATAGTTCGGTTCGCATACCCACCACCGTTTGCAGCGTGCATCCCAAAAAATACTGAGATGCAAAGCAATAAAGCCTGAAACGATTGGCTCGCTTTGGGCACTCGGGGCGAGATGGCCCATGTGGTTAGAGCTACCCACCACTGCAGCGTGCATCCCAAAAAATACTGAGATGCAAAGCAATAAAGCCTGAAACGATTGGCTCGCTTTGGGCACTCGGGGCGGGCGAGCCCATGTGGTTAGAGCGCGAATTTACTGACCGAAAGGTCCGTGGTTCGAACCTGACCTCTGCCTCTCGACTTCTCCTGTCTAGGCTTGGGCAACCTGGCAGTATCCCAGCCCTCGTGCAACCTTCGGGTGGCATGGCAGTTAGGCACCGTAAGGATGCTACAGATGGACGGTTTTTGGGTACTACTACACTCCAATAAGTGCTTATCACAGCTTCTCGAATTCGTTTCGCCTTTCATTACAAAATAAAGACGAGTGCACAAAAATTCCGGTGAACTCACGAGTTCATCTAACGGACTAGTGTCCATGGGACTAAGATCACGCTCGGTATGAACGGGAGAGACTGGAAAGAGACGGGATAGAGTGATACGGCGGGGCATACGAGAGTGTCTGGTTCGAGTGATTCGTTGACTGAAACGTATAGAAGATCGTCGCTGTGGACTCGAAGTTATGGCTGTAGAGGTAGATGCCGTATCTGGTATAATGAGGAAGAGAAATCGACCGAATAACCATTATATGACCAAAAAGTAAGAGATATTAAACAGGTCTGGATGTTACCAGGGACTGCGATAAAAAAAATTCTCAGAAGACTTTCTGGGGCAAACGAGCTGTTATGTGAAAGCAAGTAAATCATGCTTCTACGGGATCACCCTCTCTCCTCATCCCACATTCATTTGTCATCTGCGATCCGGAGCACACGATACAGGCCACGTCCCAGTTTACCGGTTTGACAAGAGAAACAAACGCTTTCAACAAATGTAGTTCCATCAGCTCGCGGAAGCCGTTCCTAGCTGCCTTGCTGACGGAAACTGGCTGGGCGTAGGCTAGTTTGCAACCTCGAACAAAATCTGGGTGACAAGGAGAACAGCATTCGTATCCCCCGAAACTCCGGTCATATCCCGCTAAGGGAGATAGATGCTTTACAGAATTCCGGTGGTAGGAACGAGTCTATTGGCATTACAACCCGGTCTCAAATACATATGCAAAACGCAGTGGCATAGGTAGAGAATGTCTTATAGCTTGCTCCTGCACTCCTGGACTATGCAAGCCGGTAAACATCCGAATGTCACGTGAATGGCTTGATGGAGGAATAAGTTAGAGATAACTAAGGACAGCTAACCAATTTGTTCACTTATGCGTGAACGGCAGTGGGCTTAACTCTTATTCGGGAATAGGCGGGTTCAAACCGTCTTGGAAATTCGCGAAATGCATACGACCACGGATTTTTAATCAAGGTGGAACGACTACGTGATACCTTTCGATTTCAACACTGAAAACCATTAAAAAACTTTTTTCGCGATATCCGTATACAGCTTTCCCGGACAGTTTTAAGAATGACAAAATAAACATGTCATAGTTCGGTTCGCATACCCACCACCGTTTGCAGCGTGCATCCCAAAAAATACTGAGATGCAAAGCAATAAAGCCTGAAACGATTGGCTCGCTTTGGGCACTCGGGGCGAGATGGCCCATGTGGTTAGAGCGCGAATTTACTGACCGAAAGGTCCGTGGTTCGAACCTGACCTCTGCCTCTCGACTTCTCCTGTCTAGGCTTGGGCAACCTGGCAGTATCCCAGCCCTCGTGCAACCTTCGGGTGGCATGGCAGTTAGGCACCGTAAGGATGCTACAGATGGACGGTTTTTGGGTACTACTACACTCCAATAAGTGCTTATCACAGCTTCTCGAATTCGTTTCGCCTTTCATTACAAAATAAAGACGAGTGCACAAAAATTCCGGTGAACTCACGAGTTCATCTAACGGACTAGTGTCCATGGGACTAAGATCACGCTCGGTATGAACGGGAGAGACTGGAAAGAGACGGGATAGAGTGATACGGCGGGGCATACGAGAGTGTCTGGTTCGAGTGATTCGTTGACTGAAACGTATAGAAGATCGTCGCTGTGGACTCGAAGTTATGGCTGTAGAGGTAGATGCCGTATCTGGTATAATGAGGAAGAGAAATCGACCGAATAACCATTATATGACCAAAAAGTAAGAGATATTAAACAGGTCTGGATGTTACCAGGGACTGCGATAAAAAAAATTCTCAGAAGACTTTCTGGGGCAAACGAGCTGTTATGTGAAAGCAAGTAAATCATGCTTCTACGGGATCACCCTCTCTCCTCATCCCACATTCATTTGTCATCTGCGATCCGGAGCACACGATACAGGCCACGTCCCAGTTTACCGGTTTGACAAGAGAAACAAACGCTTTCAACAAATGTAGTTCCATCAGCTCGCGGAAGCCGTTCCTAGCTGCCTTGCTGACGGAAACTGGCTGGGCGTAGGCTAGTTTGCAACCTCGAACAAAATCTGGGTGACAAGGAGAACAGCATTCGTATCCCCCGAAACTCCGGTCATATCCCGCTAAGGGAGATAGATGCTTTACAGAATTCCGGTGGTAGGAACGAGTCTATTGGCATTACAACCCGGTCTCAAATACATATGCAAAACGCAGTGGCATAGGTAGAGAATGTCTTATAGCTTGCTCCTGCACTCCTGGACTATGCAAGCCGGTAAACATCCGAATGTCACGTGAATGGCTTGATGGAGGAATAAGTTAGAGATAACTAAGGACAGCTAACCAATTTGTTCACTTATGCGTGAACGGCAGTGGGCTTAACTCTTATTCGGGAATAGGCGGGTTCAAACCGTCTTGGAAATTCGCGAAATGCATACGACCACGGATTTTTAATCAAGGTGGAACGACTACGTGATACCTTTCGATTTCAACACTGAAAACCATTAAAAAACTTTTTTCGCGATATCCGTATACAGCTTTCTGCAGGACAGTTATGAACTACTTAAAATGAAGGAGATATCAGCTGTCTTGGGTTGCATAACAAATCTGTGGCCTTTGGTCGAACCGAAAAGTACTAGAGCTCCATCAGGTTAATGATAAACGAATGGATGTTCTTCAAGCTAGTTTACCGGAACTGGTCGAATAATCGCAAGAACAAAACCGTGCGAGTCTATCGAGTCTATGGTCTTATACATCTGTGCAACTGTTCGTAATTTCGAGTGTTAGCACCATTTGAAGGCTTCAGACCATCAGAAAAGAAGTATCTTTAAGAGGGGACAAAAAAGAAGCACGACTGGTGACTAAGGTAAACAAATGGTTGTGTGATGTAGCTTTCAAGATGTTATCGAGCAAACTTCGCTTGGCTGATCGCTGTTGGATGCAGTTCATAACATTCTATGGCAATGCTTCCAATTCCGAATACTGTGACGCAAGACTGTCCAATATGTTGACTATCTGGCAACCAGTATGATGGGCGTATGTAAGTTGGTAATATGCACCGAAAATGATCCTCCATGCGGTCAATGCGCTGGAGCAGCCTTGCGGTATAGAGTGTGTTGATGAGCATGCTCCAGGGGAAGTAATGGGTTGATGAAGAAAGGTCTCCTGAATTATACATGCCGGTCATACACAAGAAAATCCTATTGTGAGACCACCAGCCACCTTGAGTAAAAGAGGTCTGCAATGTGAAATTTGAGTAAATAAAGAAAAACGGCGCTCAAACATTGTATTCCAAGCTGCGTTTGGAGTAAAATTCGAACAGGAGAGACAGTAAGGTAATCATTTTGAGTGCCGTAAATCTATTGAAGTTGAAGGTGATCTTTCTCCGGGAGATGGGACTGTATGCCTAATTAGCCAAATTTTGCTTCAGCAAAAATAAGCTAAGCATGGGAAACCGATCAAACCAAAGGTCTACGAAGGCGTCATAACTTGATTTTGATTTCACCGCATTGATGTCGTATTGTATTGTATCATAAAGTGTAAAAAACGTGAGGCTCATTCGAGCTATAGTGTAAACGTTAAAGACGCACACATTGAAACACTTACTCTCCGTCCGAGAAGTGACATCCGACGTCTCCGATATTGAAATATCATCCAACTTATCATCTTCGGAAGAACTCAACTTTTCTAGGAGTCGCCTCCTGAAACGGCTACGCATTGACTCGGCTGAATGCCTCATTCTTAAGCATCGGTTCATCTCCTCCCAAATCTTCCGCTGATTCACAAATCTGGAGCTACAAGCAGCGAAAAGCTGATTAAGTAATAGAAACCGCTACAACGCACCTTCCGAAAGTACACATCGAAAGGTAAGTTTGCAGTCACCATATGGAACATAGGTTAAATGAAACATCACAAATTCGATCATCCAGACAATTTTGTGTAAGAATCTATCTGCCGTCGCTAAACATCTACAGTGTGACGATCGTTGAAGCACAGGTCCACGTAATAGATATCCATAATCAAAGCTAGAAGCACGAATTAAACGTAAGTGGAGCATACTGATGACAGTAATGGTTTAAAGTAATGGCTACTTTTTTCAGAACTGACGCTGTTCTGTATGCGGTAAGAAGCTTTAGTGCTCGTCCGCTGAGAATGACCAGTTCACTTATGTTACGGTTTCCAATTTCAGTACGGTATAGAAAGCGTGCTCAATGGCCTATTTTTTGAAAGGCCGCGCTTCATTTCAAAGCAAGTGATGAGGCATATGACAACACATAATCCTAGTATGTATCAAACGACGCATTCCATGCGTGTTTGAAGAAAGTTCGGTTATTTTAGTACCCGAATTCTAACACGATCACCGAAAGAATCATAGCCTCATTTTTTCACACAGAGATCAGGACCACATCCCAAGTCACGCTACGCCAACACGTGAGGCAAATGCTACTGGACCAGTCGTTAAGGCGTAGTTGCTATGATACTGATATGCCATTCTCCATTCTAAACAGTAACCGAGGTGACACAATCACTCACGATTTCAAGCCCTGTCAACAACTTAGATATGCAAGGAACGGTAAACTTCCCATGAAATAATACACTGCCCCGTAAGGATAGTTAATGTGTCCCCAAGTTAGAAAGTTTGCATCTGTGAGACCACACCCTGTGACACACGTCTGCAATGAAACTCTACAAAATAAATATAATAATAATTGTTCAGCTGTAACATCCCTTCGGTGCCTAACTGACATGCCACGCAAATGAAGCACGAGGGCTGGGATGCTGTCAGGTTGCTCAAGTCTGGAAAGGGGAAGTCGGGAAGCAGAGGTCAGGTTCAAACCACGGACATTCCAGTCGGTAAATTCGCGCTCTAACCACTGAGCTATACCACCTCAAGCTCCACGAAGGTTGTCTCACTCTCCCTTCAGGGCTGTGATGGGCTGAAACCCTGACCAAATTTGATTCATTTTCGCGTCGAAATGATCTACCATGCTCAGTTGACTATCCAATGACAGAGCACCTTACTCCGAAGCCCTGCTGCGGACTGTCATTCAAGCCGTGAATAGAATCTAAGTCGTTGACAAAAAGCGTTCAATTTATGACCGTGAACAAATCAGCGTGCAGCAGTTAACTCATTTCATGTACACTTAAATAGGTTGTCGCAGTAATGGCGCTTGTGCCTCACTTGCTTTGTAATACATTTTTCACAGTGTGCTCCGTTCGATTGCGCAACCCGTAGAAACTGCTCGTCGGTATGGGGTTTCAAAAAGGTAGGAGACAAATGACAGTGTACTAGATATCTAGGTTCACGATCCTTCTTTTGAAGTACAACCACTCACACGGAAACAAAATCAAGAATCCAGTGGGAGATAACAAATTTATCTTGGGGGACTCTCTTTAGGACAGCTCTAATTTGAGGGTTCAAGTCGAATGAGACGTGAATTTTCGAAGAAACGTACAAGTGCTCAATTAGTATGAATTGGCATTTTGGTTACTTATGTTACCTACGTCAAAGATGATCAATGGGAAATGCTAGTTTTAAGCATGAAAGAAAACATAACCATACAGAACCATGCAAGAGGACACCACGGACACCTTAGAAGTTGAGTTGCTGTGCCACAGCATAGTGAGGCTTTGCTGTTGGGTATCCAAATAAGCTTACCGTATCTGTGTACTTAATCCGCAGAGAGACTCGTGCTGGCCACCTGGATGGCCGCCAGCGTATCGGGGGTTAGAAAACATGAGGGATGACCTAAGACATGCGGGTTTACCTCATTATCAAGACCTCCTTGATGACTTTTAGGAAGCAAAACTGCGCACCCGAAATCTACTTAACCGGTCGAGCAAGATGTCCTAAACGACTTACGCTTGTCCCAAAGCGCACGTGGACAGCGGATTGCACCAAGTTCAAATGATTTCATGACTGTGCTACTTGCATGGTTACGAGTAGCATGAGGGTGAAGCCGAAAAGGCATTAGAAGGGGTCTCACGCTGCCAAACGATGGGATACACGGTTTCGTCGGTGCATCAGTTTTGTGTGACGTGCAAAACGTGTTCCGTACCTTCGGAAATATTCATATCGTGTAATATGCGACGTCGTAATGTTCGGGTTTCATTAAAGAGATCTCATTTTGGCAGACTCAAGGTATGGTGAAAACTCGAAGGTCTGGCTGAAATGCATGAGATTTCTGTGGCAAAGAGCTATTATGCTGAACTTATACAGCACGCCGAACAGAGTTACATCATATAAAGTGAAAAAGCACTTACAACCCGTCAGCCATTGGTGGAAGATGCAAACGATTATGTACCCACTTGTTGAGAAAAAGCTTATGTGTAATTGGGGCAAGTCCTAACGAATAGCTCGGACCTCTAATCCAGCTTGCATTGCTGCGACACATTCACAGCGGCCTGACTACTCCACTGGCGTCAGACCTGCCCTGAAGAACTGTCAATGCCATTGGTGACTGATGATGTTTTCTGACCATAGTCAATTAAGTTTGGTGAACATTTTTGTTCCCTAACTTTTTCATTCTTCGGATGTATCAATCAGTAAAAAATACAAGCTATTTATAAGCGACCAAATACTCCGATGTACACAAAAATCCGGAAGTGGAAACAGAGACTGCTACAGGCAGACGAATTGCAAAGGTTGTATGGACGGGAAGCAAAGCAAAAGAGACAAAGCAATAGGGCACAAGAGAAGAGTATACGAAATGGGAGGAACAGTCAGTAAATCTAAGGAGTCGTTTCTGTCACGTAGGAACGTCGCTGCAAGTGATGGAAAGCATATAGCGGAGTAGAGCGGGCAAAATTATAAGGCGAATTCTACACTTCTTGTTTCTTCGTGGAAAATAAAGAAAATGCATAGATGAGAAAATAAGATAGGCTGCGTCTATCTATTCATTAATGCTTCAAGGAATAGACAACTATACGCGTCTCATCAACCTTGAGGTGGGTTGCAAGCGACCTGCATGACCTGCATGCTCATTAGATCGGAAAGTTATGGCATTTCACAACGAACGGACTGAATTGGCGATTACAGAAAATGGCCGATCTAGTCCAACATGTTTAAAACTGGACAGTCGGTTGCGAATAGAAAAACCAGCAGATTCACTTTTCTGCAATACAGTAAAAGATATCCCAAATAACGGTGTACATTTTCGTGAAAACCCCAAATAGATCAGGTTCAATCTAGTTTGAAGTAAGCTGAGACATACCGTATAGGGAAGAGAGGTGTTGGAATAGACTTACCCAGATAGATTATTTCGTTTCACGTAGTCCAGAATCGCCCCATCCTCTTCAACGGTAAATGGCACAGGTTTAGCACGCGATCCTTTGGTCAGACGTTTGCTTTCCTTGTCCCGGGCTAGCAAGTGAAGATAATGAGCACGCATGCCCTCCGCTGAATGACTAGTGATCCCGAGCTGTTCCATCGATCTCCAAATAGAGTGCCCATGCACTTTGCTGAACATAAACGACAGTTGTGCTAATTTACTGAAAGAATGGATATCCTCCTTGATATCACGTGCTGTGGTGTCACACGAATATGGCAGTAAAAAAATACTTAAACCACGTATTCAGGCTTAATGATGTTTTATCTGAATCCTAAGTGTAAAGCATTTATTACATACCTTGCAGTGATTAGAGTAAATTGGATCCAATTTCGGTTGATGAGCAGATCACGCAGTCATCCGGACAAGTTGCACCGTGTAACCGATGAGAGTCGTATGTGGTTTACCACATCAAGACACAAAGTTGGGTTGCCAGCCTTTTTTCGAGCTATCAGCAAGACCTAACAACGGTGTTTTGGCATCGTTTACTGTGTTATGTTTGTTTGCACGTTCTGAAAGGGGTTTTCCGGTGGTAGGGCAAACATAAAAACGCTATACATGCTCACTACTTATGCGGAAGTCAGTCAGAATAAATCGCTGAGAACTGCAATTATTTTAGTGTCACCATCAAAAAGAATCATCTGAGCCGGATCACTGTTAGTTTGTCCAGATCTAGAGAGGAACAACTGAAATGAAGCACGACCAACACCCCTAAGTTATTTTAAACTCCGGCTGTTAAAATGGAATTTTTGGCCAGCGGTCGTTTCCACATGTGCGGAACCGTCCAGAAAAGATTTGCTATTATGGTTACAGAGGGCCCTTAAAGGTCTTTCACACACAGTGACCACGTCTCTGATCCATAGAATAGGGTAAACCGGACCGCGGTACATTCAAGGTATTGTCACATCTGCACCAAAAAGGCCCGAGGCTAGCAAGCCTTCACTTGGCCCTTCCAAATGGGGAAGTGACTTCATTTTTCGCCAGTCTTCCGAGACTTAGAGAGTTGTCCAGATTGACGAAATTATCCGCCACATCGATCGGTTCATCTGAAAGCATTAGGTTTGGGTTTCATTCCACCCAACCTTGCGGCGGTACTTTACACTATACATGTTCGAAGCGCATACCGAAGTGCGCAACAGAATTGCTTGGGTTAGTTTGCATTTTTAGATGGTCTGATCCAAGAAGAGCATTGTTGTCGGCGTACTTAATGTCCGCGAGAGAAGGCCCTGGGGCAAGAGAAAATTAAAGCAGTGTTTAGGAAGTCGAAGAGAAGGGGCTACATAAGATAGCCTTGCCCAACACCAATGGATGTGATGAACTCAAGAGAGAATAAGCCGTAGACACGTACGGGTCCCGGAGGGAAGCCTATAAAGGTGAATCTTGAAGTTCCCATAACTGGGAGCAATAGCATCTACCGTTGACCCCTTCTGTGGCCCGGGTAATTATCTGCGGTTAATGACATCTTTTACGAATGGCAGTCCCGTTCAGGTTCCTGACGCTGAGGGTGTCATGGATACTGAATATCATCCAACTTGTGTGGATATGATATTGGTAGGTCGGACGGATATATAAATACCACCTTATACCAATGAGAAGTTAAGTCTGTATGGATTTGTTCAACGCCGTAAATGACGAGTATGACGAGGACGGGGATGACTCGCGTCTGTTTAGTTGACAGTTAGATTTCTTCAAGACCCTGGTAATTTTCCGAAATAGTTTCATCACTGATAACTTCCAATGTGTAGTAGTAGAGAGGCGCGTCGGTTTGCAAACCAAAAACGCTGACACCTCGATTCATGAAACATTTGGGACTAAACTTCGGTCATCAAGAGTATGATCAAAAGTATACCAGGACGTCGGTTTGAAGACCCTATGCGCATGATTTACCATCGTACCCTGCAAACAGCGGTTGAATGAGAATACTCAAAAAGTTCTCGCTTAAACTTCTGTTACCAAATCTATATCGAACGTGAATCGTGCTTGATGATTTCCTGGGGGAACTGGGAAGAGTCTACTGCACCTAATTTACGATTTGGTCGCTTTGTGACGTGCTACCATCGAGCCTTTCTGAAAAAGGATAATTGCACTCCAATGTGATATAACACAACTCGACCAAACAAGTAGAAATCCACCGATTTCTTTCTTCATAAGAGTCAGAAAAAAAACGCGATGTTCAAGACCCTGGAACGGGCTGAAAAAACCAACGACCTCAGCAGTTATCGAGGTTAGTATTTCAATGGGCCGTCATGGATACAACCAATGACAGGCGGCAAATGGCAATACGATGGCCAAATGGGTGGGTGAATTGTGCACCATCCATATTGTGCAACATATCCAGGCGACAATGAAACAAGCTTTTACCGTAAATCATTTCATTTTACATTTAACGCTTGCTGGATAAAATATGATTGATAACTAAGCGTTTTGGACCTAAAGCAGGGCCGCATCCTTGGCGAACCTAACAAAACACACTGAATAGAGTGCACCTACACCGAATAGTGCAGACATGTGAGTGTAAAATTTGTCTTCCCACTACTGAATGATGAGGACAATACTCACTCTTGAAGACCATGCTTTGATATATAGTTCTTTACGGATTCACTTTCGATTTTGGTAAATGGTTTCCGGGTGCGTCGATTGAGCAAATAAGGAACGGATGCATCTGCATGAGGAACCCGCGATGGAATTTCGGGGACATGGATCCCTGGAGTCACCTATGCAGCAAAGAGGGGAATAAGCAACTGGGGGAGAATACATTTAAATAAATCGATACTATTTTTTGTTTAGTAGGTGCGATGAAAATTCTCAGGAATACTTGGAAACACTAAAACGTTATCTCCAACTTCTAACGGTTCTCGTAGATGTTCTGGAAAATATGAAGTCAATAGGTCATGGACTCGAACATGGCAAAACTAACTACATCTCTGCTTTATATTTAAAGTCCTCGAACCACAGTCCCTTGGACTGGGTACGAGAGGAGCCTGAGAAGTTGGCGAAAGCAATGGAATACCCCCAAGTAGTTATATTTCTTTGCAGGACCTACGCCAAAAAACACTCTTTACGCTTACGCATTCGGGTGAATTCGGGGCTTCGTCAAACCTTCATTTCTGTATGCTAACTCAAGCGGAAATCAACGAGGTTGCCCATCTTTTTTTTTGCTTTCATTAGATTTAATTAAGGATGATAGTATTTGACGCTTGTAGGCTAACTGAAATTGGTCTGGAAAACCTCTTCGTAACCTACAGTACGCAAAGACAGTGCTGGTTTTCGACTGCATGTGCAACGCTCAATACGTTCTAACCAGACTGACAACTTCTGCATGTCGTTTTGGATTGGACTTCTCATACCCAATTGGTCAGTACTAGCAGTGTACCTTAACAGAAACGGGCTCACACCAGAACTAGTTGGGTAAAGTACATATCCAGGTAGCTTCTTTAACTCTATCAGGATCAAGGATAACATAGACAATCACGCTATTAGGGCACGAGCGAAGTTCGTCAACCGACAGCGCCCTAGGCAACGACGGAACATGAGTCTGACATGGCACCTCTAGTTATCTCCAATAGGGATGAAACCGCTGTAGAGTGTTTCTCGATTCTCAGCACAGACTGACTCCACTAAAGGGACGAAATATCCACTTAAAAATCACAGTACTAACAATCCGTAATTAAGTCAGAAGAAGAATTCAAGGCAAAAAAGCTTCTATCTGAGAAGTCATCACTCAAAAAACCAGTCAGTACGTGACCACGTGATTTGGATTCCGTGAGTGAGAGTTAAGTGGCATTATATCATGTCCATGCGAGAGTTAGTGACATTGCTGATCAGCCGCTCGCAGCCGAATGGTTAGGTGTTCAACTATTAGCCATGAGGTTGCGGGTTCGAAACTGTCCGAGTGTTGCGAGATGTGCACTGGTGGTGACTACCAATAACAGTAAACAGATGCACAGTACTTTTTGGCTTTTGAGCATATGATGGATTTACTTACAGGATGAAATCTTCATTGAAAATTCCCAAATCTCGCACTACCGTCCTACTATGCAGGAGTGCAACATGAGCCACTTTGGACCGCTGCTGTCTTCAGAAAACACTCACCTTCATTGAAATTCCCAAATCTCGCACTACCGTCCTACTATGCAGGAGTGCAACATGAGCCACTTTGGACCGCTGCTGTCTTCAGAAAACACTCACGCCAGGTGGAAACCGGCTGTGAGTAATGAAGCTCCTTACTGAGTGTTTGGGAACGGACGATCTTTTTTACCTTACATCAGTTCTGAGATAGCGCCAACTATGTTGGTCGGGGCAAGCACTAAGAATGTTTAGTTATCTACTGCCACACCGGTCTTTGCTCATGAGCATGAAAGGTTAGAGAAGAAAATTCGGAGATCAAGGAATAACAAGGCAGAAGAGTATGAAAACAATTATGGTTCGGTAAGCTATGTCTAACTGATGCAGACCTCTTGCATGGAGGCTTAGGAAAGACGATTAACTGTGGTCGGACACATGGACCAAAACAAGTGACAACTTTCCCCTTTCAATTTTCACAATTCATGCATTGTGACACACAAGCCCCTCAAAATGTACTGTGCTATCGTGAATTCACACGGTGCTGCAATGCATGTCTAAACTGAGTTTCACAGGGATGATCGCATGATTAATCATCACACAATACTCAGTAAAGAATGGATTCACTCTAGAGTAAAAGTTTCACGGCTAGTGTATGCGGCATCGACTTAATCGAAGTGGCATTCGGTGTATGAACGACAACAGACAGAACTCACTTTGTACCCATCCATTGGAAGGCGTCGGCGAGCTCGAATGCAGTCTCTAACGTATTGCACATGGATATATCGATCCGACTCAACTAAGCTGCCAGCCTCGGCCAAAAGAATGCTGTTTGTACGAACGCGTTTCTCGAGTACGCCACCACCAGCAACGACCAGCGGGAGAAGGGCAAAGAAATCGGAACATCGATGCAACGTGAACGTCATCTGCGTCCCGTTGGGAAGAACGAACAGTGATGGAGGAATACTGTCGATGCTAGACTCTGGCATGTTCTTCCGGTCAACACCAGTTTAAACCTAGAAAGAGGAGTATATACTGGAGAAAACCATAACCTGCAGCAGCATATAAACCATCACCGACACGGCCTCACTATCAAATAAGCACAGCAAGAAACCCGGAAAAATCGGAAAAAGCCAACAGATCTGGTGCCAACCTGCCATAAGATTTCACCGGCACTATGGGTAGCCGTACACGAGTACATGATAATGGTGCGTGATAATCACATGACCAGGAAGAAAAGCGACTTCAAAATTTGAGAGGAGGTGGAAGCTGGATACAGAAAATTACTGAAGATTTAGGCGAGATTATCTATAGCAAGATGACTACCATTTCAATCAGTAGCGAAATAAGCATAGCCGAGTAGCATATTGAAGAACGTCGAAAATCCTATCGGCCTTTGCTGGCTCTTTTGAATATGAGTCAACACAAGCCTAGCCGACGACAGGTTGGCTAGGTGACTGAGTGCTTCTTATCGATGACAGTTTTGTACCATGTCCTTAACAATCTCCAGATACGTGCTGAGTGGGTTAGATATAACCAAGACAGTGTAATATGGATCATGGCGCTAAGCTTCAGGTTATCGCGCCACCGACTGTCAACCCAGCTTTTTTTAACTGCAGCAAGGCGTGGAAACGGTGTCCTGGTTGAAAAATAGTGTATGCGAGTAAGAGGCAAATCCCACAGCCACCTTCACTGCATAACGTTTGTGTACATTTTTCGAAGGCCAACTCAGTGTTCCCAGCTGACCCCTACAAGGTAGGAAAGAGAACAACGGTCGAACACTGTGTGGCTGCTTCCTACAGCGAAGGCATTATATCTCTTGGGCTCTCCGGAACGGTTTGAGGAGCACCAGTGAGCTGAGGTCTCGTAAAGAAGTTTCGGGGACAGTATACTTAAACAGAAAATGAAAAAGTTTCAGCAATCAAGTCGCTTATTTCAATTCGACACGCACGGAATCGACAGCCAAGATGTGAGTAAGTGTATTTCGAGTTTACTGAATGGATATACTGGTATAGTTGGCCATATAGCCGGGGACATCGGTGGAATGGTCGGCTATTTAAAGAACCAGAGTGAACCAACTGAAATATGTCGGGTGAACGTGATGATAGGGAGTTGGTGAATCACGGCTTGCAAGGGCGAATGGTACCTATTAGCTGCCCAGGTTGGAGAAAGGGGTTTATCTAAGTTACACCACCTTGGGCATTTGACTCAAAAGTCTGGCCCATGAGGCATCAGACAGTACAGTTTTTGAGGACCACGCCTGAAGTCAATGGCTTCATAACCCGAACTGTGGGAGATTGCCCTAAAGGAGAGACACATACAGTAAGACAAGAACGTCACACTTCTAGTGCTACTGAATGCGGCGGATCGAGTCAAATTGGAATAGGACCTCTGAATGGTTTTAGATTTACTTCATCTGTGTACAAAACTGCTCCACAGTAACACCCCTTCGGTGCTTAGCTGTCATGTCGCCCGAAGGAAGCGCAAGCCCCAAGACATTGCCAGGTTGCCTAAGCTCAGACAGGAGCAGTCGAGATACTGGGGTTGGGGTCAAACCACGGATCTTTCGGTCAGTAAGTTAGCGCCTTAGCCACTGAGTTATCTCAAGCTCAGTCTTGGATAATTCGTCAGCGCTACGGTTGGCTGCTGGGCAATCAGAGTATATAGTTTAAAGGGTCGAAATTCTATTCCGATGATAGAATTGCCTCTCCCATATAAACACGCTGTTCGCCCGTCGCTGACCGTCTCTGGGCAAGATTACCCGCATCAGGGTCGCCTACTGTTCTTTGCTGGTTATTTAAGGCCTTCCTGGTTTGACTGCCTTTAGGAAACGGGGTTCTATTCAGTGTAGTCTACGCGAAAACTTCAGCAATCCAACCCAACTACTCCACTGTGGCAGCTCTTCGTCCATATGCCCAGATGAATTGCTGTAGTTTCGAACTTCACTGCTAGTCCTTTCTGTTCCATGAAATATGATATCAAAGGGTACGGTAGACTGAGGTAGAATTTACAAGAGTAACACCAGTACTTTTGAGATTGGTTTTGGTATGCGTATTTGCAAACGAATTTTCACTGTTCCAAATGAGTTAACCCATGTCATTTGGCCTTGGTTTTTTATACACAAGTATATAGCCCATGCGTGAGAGGTTTGTTGTCTGTTGCACCTATTTGTCACTGTGCACCGACGTATTCACAAAAAAGAACTGCTGCCAGGCAGCAGTCAAAAAGGCCAATATGTCACTAGTGGACAGTCGTATGAGGATTCAAGGTGATCATCTGAGTCTCGTTTTTCAAAAGGATCATATCAAGTTGACGAAATCGCTCCTTAGTGCTCTTCTTACGAAATGAATAATGAATTATCACCCAGCTATAACATGTTTTCACTGCATAGATATCATGCCACCTGATGGAACCACGAAGGCTAAAATAACGCCAGGTTGTCCAAGCCTAGACAGGAGCAGAGGAGATGCCAATGTTGGGTTGGGACCACCGACCCGTAATTTTGTGCGTTAACCACAGAGCTGCCCAGAGCTGTTCCTACGAAAGATGAATGCTAATATATTCACGCAGGATGGTTACAAGGGAAGTGAAGCAAATGAATAATTGGGCACCCTCTAAGGCTGCCGTGGGGGATTCTGGAACGGTCTCTAACTATCCAAAAGGGCACCCTGATAATCAAACATATATCTGAGGACCACCCATTAGAAACCCGAAAGTTGGGCTATGTCTGCTTCAAGGGGAAAGCGCGAAAATAAACCAGCCTCGAAGATAAGAAAACCGAAACTAAATTTTGGACAACCTGATAGTAGGTGGGGATTGTGCCCTTACAGGCAAACTGATCGAAGCGACCATCACTTCATAGTGCAGCCTCAACTCAACTATAGCAAATCCACTGACGATGGAAAGAAGACAGAAAAAAGAAAGGTAGGTATTTTGTGAGAATAGGCTTCGCGAGTCCAAGGAAAACCATCAGAAATAAGATGCCTACAGCTCTGCACAGCATTGAAACAAAAATGTCTAGAAAACACGCCACTAGCGGGATAGAGGCAGCGTCCTTCGCGAGCCTCACTCGATGAAACCCGAGCGCACAACAATAGGCAAACTTTAGTCTGACAGGCCGGCGATGAAATAAGAGCAAGCGCACTGCTGGGTTCAGTTGGGCGCCATGTCTTGTGTCTCGCGCACCCTCCGCCAACCGTTTGGAAAAGAAAATGCATTCTTGGACAGACGGTGGTTGGGCATATGTACCACATGTTTCAACCAATTCAATGTGACAGGTTAATGCGCTGCTCTAAAGGTCCACGAAGTACCGCACTGCGTACTCGTTGCAACCAAAAAATTGTTCAGCTGTAGAATCCTACCGGTGCCTGACTGTCATGCCGCCAAAAGGAAGTACGAGGGCGGGGAAATAGTCGGGTTGTCCAAGTCAGGACCGGAGAAGTCGAGAGACAGAGGTCAAATTCGAGCCACGGACCTTTCGGTCAGTAAATTCGCGCTCTAACCACAGCCGTCTCGCATGTCGTTGCAACCACCTAACTCTTGATATGATACGGAGACAAAGTGGACAAAGATTTGATGTCCTTGAATCGGATGGGCTGTCTCGCAGCAGATTAAGAACGCCATCAAAGTTGTCTTGTGTATGGGACCCTTTAGCCTCAGCAAAATTCGGTTCTGACGCGAAAAATAACGCGAGTTGAGGAATTCCACCCGCACCTTCATTATCCGCCTATTAACACCGATATCGGTTGCAAAACAACCACGGCTCACGGATTCACGGATCGACACACAGGATCGAGGCTATTGCCCAAATTTCCCTGTTCGGTTTTGTTCTTGTCGGTCAGTGGCGGTCGTTCGTTCAAAAGGCACAAGTGAAAAGAGGGTGTAGCACTGCTCTTTATGTTCTCAGCGCGGGGCAGTATGCTCACCAGCGCGAGGATTCACATAAATAAGTGTCTAATAGTGCTTTAAACTGGGTTCTAGAAGCAGCGTGAACAACCGTCGGAGGAAGGTCATTCCACACACCCACTACCCAAAATGAGAAAACATTTTGTCTAATGAATGTGTGTGCTCTGAGCTTGAAAATTTTCTTACTATGTCCCCGCCGTATGTTTGCTGGTTCAACGGTAAAACAACCTGTTTGCCAAGCTTTGTTCAAACAGGACATAAGTAAGAATTAGGTCCCCTTGGAGGCGACGGTACTCCAGGGGAAAGAGATCAAGCATCGCGAGACGCGTTTCGTAGTCCACGGA